TCCCACTGTGTCGCCCCGGGCTCTAAGTCAGCGTGGATAAAGTATTCAGCAAGTGTGATGTTGTCGACTTCCATCGTGATCCTACGAATTGCTGTGTGTATAAGTATGCAGGTGGAGTGGCGGTGTGTGTCTCCTCCGTCTTCCGCTCCTCCCCCCTTCGCAATGTACGCAGGCGGTTTTATCACACCCTGACTGGGAAGACAGATGGCTTTGAATAGGGGAGCCTAATGTAAAAGTGTGTGGAGTGTTGCGGAGGGGGAGATAAGCAGCAGCCGGCCATTTCTCTCTGGCTGTGTTGGGATACAGGGCCTTAAATCACCTGTTATCTCCTGCAGCCTCAGCCAGACGCTAATGGTCATCACAGCGGGCTGAACCCTGCAGGCAGCAGCAGGGGGGACGAGGCGGGGGCTGGAGCTGTGCTCTGTCCTCTCCACAGCTGCAGCAGCAGGCTTCACACAGAGGGGATAGTGGATGCATGCTTCAGCAGCAACATTAGTCTTTGTGCTGTACAGTAGAACAGGCGTCCCATCAAAACAAAGCCAATTAGGTTACTGTAAAGTGTCTTCACTGTCACTATCCAGGCTGCTGTATAGTATCAAAGACGGGGTATTCTGGTTTCTTACGACTTGGGTCTGAATTTCTGAGATTTGGCCATCTTTGTGGTTGGTTTTGATGGACACTTTACCCATTAAAAGAATTGCTGAGGTATGGGAAGACAGCAGCGTCACGTCAGCAAAGTCCAGTGGGGCAAGAACCATGAGATATTCTGACAAGTTGGGAATGAGCCCAGATTTGAGCAATATTACCTAAACCAGGTGCAACAGCCGTGGTGGCTAAGGTAAAGTGAGACAGGGGGTCTCTCTTGAGCTGGCTTTTGGGTTTACATACACATTTATCAATCATGTAAGTTTTAATTTAAGACAAGTGTGACCTCTTCTCGAGTATCTTCCCAACAAACAATCCTTAATACCAAGTCAGAAATTTAGAGAAAGAGACAGACAGACAAAAGAGAGCGCAAATGAGAGAGAGAGAGAGAGAGAGAGAGAGAGAGAGAGAAAGAGAGAGACAGAGAGACAGAGAGAGAGAGAGAGAGAGAGAGAGAGAGAGTAACATGACGGGATGAGGAAGAGCGCAGCACAGACGGACTGCCCCAAGTGAATCACCACGCAAAAAATGAATTGCCCTTAATAGAGTATAAAGCTATATAATTAGTATGTAGCTTTTATTCCCAAATCAATATAATCAAATAGTTTCCCTGCAGCCCAGTATCATATGATCTGTGGTCTGGTATTGGTCCATAGCCTAGAGATTAATAACCTCTAATGCTAACCATTTCACTTAACGGTAAAGCCAAACTTGAGAGGTAATTATACCCGGTGGCACAGGGAAATGGTCTGTACATGCAACAGTAAACCATGTTGGATGTTTACTACATACGGTTTGGGGAATAATTTCATACATTGCCTTCATTTTCTCTCTGAAAATAAGTCTGAAGTGGGGATTTGATTACAGGGCCTGAACACTTGCAGTCAGTTTCTTACTATGAGCAGCGCGGTCTTACACGAACGCACTCTTTATTATCATTATCATCAGACTATCATCAGAAATGTGATGACACTCGGTGGGCTGTTTGCTGAGGGTCAAATGACCGTCTTGACAATTACCGTTATTAATGATGGCCAGAACTCGGAAAATAAGACCTATACGCTTGACAATAAACAAAAGTTATCCTTGAAAACATGCCATCACAATATTACAGTCACCCGCCATCATTACCATGTATAATATGAACTATAATGTCAATAACACACTCAGTCGTCATCAGGCTGGCAACACAAAGCACTTTGTCTGTTTCGCAACAAAGGAAGCTGCAGAGAGTCGAGTGACTGCGGCTCCATTATCTGTGTGACAGTCGCAGCAGTCTCAGGCGAGCTGTGCTCTTCATGAAACCGTCAACAACTCCACTGTTGTTACCTGCAACTCAGGAGACACTTGTCAAGCATGTCCTGCTGATATTTCTGACAAAAATCAGTGCACTACCCTCAGCCCAAAATGAATATACACAGTGATCACCTACTCTTCCGCCTGCAGGATGATAGCAGGATGTAGAACTTTTATTGACTGCTAGCACTATGTCGCATGAGTATGAACATGCAATCTTTTTGGTCTTTTAGTAAAAAATAATCGAGGCACAATGCATGGCAGAGTGTACAAATGTAGTGTACAATCACAGCAGTGAAAACTTTATGTCCAAACACACCGCAAGACTCTGACAATAACAAGTAATCGACCTTTGTCCAGACCGCCACCGACAAAAGGAGAGCGGAGGCGTTGTGTTAAACCCTCTGTATGCAGCAAATTAGAAAACACATATTCCTCATTTCATTCATAAAGATAGACAATGTGGTAGCAAGTGATTTTTTGTAGAGTTTGAAGAGGTAAATAACAATGTAGTCCTCAGGTGTATCTGCACTCCATTATAAACATTGATTTATTGGATCCACAGCAGGGATTGTCGTTTAAGTACGGTACGCGTGCCAAACAAAAGGCTTTTTGTTCCTCCGAGTGATGATGTACTTCTCAGCAGGCTAAAGTTGGCCCTGCTCTGTGCCAAGAATCAGGTTTATAGAATCAGATTTATAGTGAGTCGAGATAACAGGTGGGATTAAAAATACTGGAGCTAATAAAAGCCAAACTGCGGCCGATTGCTGAGTTGATTTAAGTCGAGAAGGAGCAAGATTCACACCCTACACAACTGTCTTTGGATTGTGAAAAAACCCGACAGTTTCTTGTTCTAGTTCCTCCCCTCTGCTTTGATGTGGGCCAGGTACCGTGGGGCAGACTTCACTTCTTACTGCTGCGCCAACAGAGTACTGATTGGAGCTGGCCAGGACTACAATAATCATTTCCATTTCCTCTCCCTTTTTCATGAGTCAGTCAGAATTAATTCAGCTGCCCTTTACAAGATTAGAATTTCACCAGGCGACAGCGTACCCACTTATCTCCATGCAATATGAATTCCGTCAGAGTTACACGGACACATTGAAATCTTGGTCCGTGTTCTTGGAGCACTAAAGGACAGGTTCACAATTTTTTTTTTTTGTCCTAAAGCAACACTTGCATGCCCATATGCAAATTGAAAAAAAGTGATTGGTCACTCTAATTGTTCATATGTGAAGGGACTCCTCTCTCGGCCAAGCTGTGCAGGCTTTGGCTATCGGTCTGATGATGGATGAGCCTCTGGGGCCGTGGGGCTATATACCGTGTAGCCAGCGGATATCCGGGCCAAGGCTTCCTTCTCCGTGCACAGCTCGTTGTTTACACTCCGAATAGGAACTTGAAATGCATATCAACACTTTGTCAAGTTGCCTACAGATTCTGCATATGAATGCAGAATCATTTTATTGAGATTATCTCTCAAGGCGATTCCGGTGTGTTGGAGACAAAGGCCAAAGTGAAATATCTCATCAACTATCGGATGGATTGCTACGAAATTTGCAACAGACACTCAAGGTCCCGAGAGAATAACTTCGATTGACCTAATACCTGCTGACATGGAATACAAAATGAATGACATTCCCATCAGCCTCAGCTGTACTAATTAGCAAACGTTGGAATGCCGACACTCTGAGATGGTGAACCAAGTAATTAATACCTGCTAAACATCAGCACGTTAGAGACATCTCTGTGTCAAAGCACCACTGTGCACACAGGTACAGCCTCCCTTGCTGCTGTGGTCATGCGAGTATTGCTTTAAGACAGCCTTTAAAATAAAAGCAACGCGTTGACACGCGCGTTTGGAAACGGATGAGGCACTTGGATGGGACAGATTCCCTTTCAACGCACAACTTTATGTGGGAGGCAAAACGGCCTCACTCTGCTCTCGAGCTCCGCAACAATTAGACCACAAAGGCAGAGAAAGAAACCCCCGCCTGCTAAAAGAAAAAAACCCCGAATGCTCTCTATCAAGAGCGGAGTCCAATTAACAGAATAATTAACTGAACTAACGTCTCTCTTAAACGACTGTTGCAGGCCACTGTGACAGCAACGAGTGCGTTTTAATTAAAGTGCCCTCCAGTTAGCGTGTGCGTTTAGAAAGCCCACGAGGGACCCTTTCCCAGTGAATTGAGACATTCAATGAACTGCTGTACGCTGCATGTGCATTATGAACGCTTTGTCAACGTGGGCTAAATTGGTTGCGGATTGTTGTCAGGCAGGAGGGGGAAAAAAAACCCCAAAACGAAACAATAAAACTATTATTCTCCCTCGCACACACCAAACAGCTCATCTCCGTGGGTTTCCTTATGGGTGTCCGATGAAGCATGCAGATCAGCGTTGAAATTAAAGAGGGATCTGTAATGAAACTCCCAGAGCCCCCTCAGTAAGAAAGTAACAAGACAGCCCATAAATAAGACACACAGAACGAGATCATGAACGATTCAGACGTGCAGGAAGTAGGAGACGAGACGAGAGCAGGAAGTCTACGGGTGTGTTTTGGCTCCGTGGGGAGACAATGTCATGTAGCTGTCATGAGGAATATCTAAATGAAGAATTGTAATGTCTCTGTTGGAGGTCTTCCATTTGAAATGTAAATCAAAGACAGATTGAAGAGTTTTTACTCTGTAATGATTGGGAAATGGATTCACACTCCAACTGAATGATTTATAAAACAAACTACTGAAGGTGTGAGTGTAGCTCTTGTCCCGGATGCCTAAATGACTCCAGAGGCAGGCTTCTTCCTTTTTATGGAGATATCAAAAGATGAACTTCAGGTAATGACTTTTACTCTTCAAAAGTAGATGGATAGATAGATAGATAGACACCCTTCAGGAAATGAACTCTTCAAATATTAAAATAAGCCTTGATTCCCAGTTTGGAATATGTGTAATGTAGTTGAAGCATGTTCAGCCTGATTGAACAAGCAGGTGTCGCCGGGTAAGAGATGGAGGAGCAGATGGCGAACAGAATCAGACTGAAAGGGAACAAAAATAAAAAATGCCTTGTTGGTTTCTCAAGTTTATTCGATCTGTGGTTATCAAAGACAATGCCCGAGAACATAAGTTATGAAAAAAAGCCTTCATGATGGGGACTCTTCAGTTTGAGATGACACAGCATTATCATTTTAAAACATAGGCATATTTTCTCATTTATTTTAAAACAGCAATGTTAAAAGTAAAAAAAACAAACAAACAAACAGATGGACAGGAAGAGACAGCAGAGATGCCGAAAAAGGACATTATCTCGGTGGAGTGCTTCTTTTGGTGAGCCTCGGGGCGGCTCCTGTGTCTGTGCGTGTGCGCCATGAGTTCACCATACTCCACATAATCTTACCATTGTTAACTCGAGGTCCCTCCCCAGCCGAGTGACTGGAGTTCACCATTGTTCCAAGTGCTGGGGGGGGGGGGGGCCTGAGGACAGTCCCCACTGTCACCGCCAGCCTCCCCCGCTGGCCACACAAACACTGTTCAGTCAGGAGGAAAGCCAGAAATAAAAACACACACTGCTCATCATTAAATCAGGCACCAGGTCGTGACGTGGCCCGTTAGACTTAAACAGCACACACAGGCACACTTCATCACGCGCACATCCATCCACCCACACACACGCACACACACACACACACACTGTACAGTATACAATGCACAAGCCCCATACGCGCAAAATTAAGACCGTTAAAAACACACTCGATAAAAGCACAATATGGTATTTTAAAATTAATTGCACATGGAGAGACATGATGGAGGAAGTACAGTGAGTGGAGGAGGAAGAAAGCGGGGTGGGGGGGGTGTCAGTGGTGAGCATGGCAAGAAGAGGACACAGTACAGTCAGTAAACAAAGAAGGGAGGAAAAGGAAAACGAAAAAAAGGCAAGATTAGAGTCAAAACCACTGAAAGGAATTAAATAAAAATCAAAAAAACACTTCTTTTCCAGTTTGTCATCTTTTTTTCGAGTCTTACAGTAGTCCCAGTCTTGTCTCGGGAGAGCGAGCTCGGTCAGTTGTGTGGATTTTAATAGTTCTTGCTTTAGTTAAAATCAATGTTCATGTCTACATCTCTACAGACCCCGAGTTTAGAGCGTCGGGCAGGGGGAGTATTGGTAGGGTGCAAGTCTTCCATGACCTGTCATACGCACAGGCATTTACACAAGTGCGCGCACACACACACACACACACACACACACACACACACACACACACACACATAAGAGTGCATTCTCATTCCTATCGCCCCTGGGTTCAGGCTTTTCCTTTTCTTCCCAGCTTAGCGCACTAAGTACGCATCTCTCTTCTGTACAAAAGCTGCCTCCTTCCCTGGAATCGGAGTCCGCGTGTTTATCCTCGCTCCTTCTCTTCTTTTATTTTTTTAATTTCCTCTTCTTCTTTTTTTTCTTTTTTTTTTTACTTCTTTTGAGAGCTGAGCAGTTTGTCCGCCTCGGGGTATGTCGGGTACTTCACAGTCTCGATTTTCTCTTTGACCTTGTAGGATGGGTAGAGGCCAGTGCGGCCCAGTTTGCGGTTGATGCCTTTGGAGTATCCGTCCCAGTGGTTGCCGGCCACGCCGATCACGTCCCCGGGCTCCAGGGGAATGTCCTCGCTGTCGCGCGGCTGGTGGGGGTAGATGGCGATCTGGTTGTGGGCGTTTTGACCTCCGAAGTAGTAGATGTCATCCAGGGAATAGAAGAAGGAGGAAGCGTCGGGATGCAGCGTCTGCATGATCTCGTAGGCCACGCGGCAGACCTGAGACAGAAACACAGGCTGGGATTATTTTTCTTAGATCTATTATTAGTATTTGTCTCGATAACGAGGCTGTAGAGGCGAGAGAACATGCTTTTTCGGGGACAAAAGTACTTGAAGCCCTGGTAAAAGAGGGATAAAATGTGCTAAGCGACTCATTCCTTGCCGTGGACTCTTAAACCCAGAGTGTGAACAGGAAATATGAGGCTCAGACTTTATTTTTAGGTGCTGGCAGAAAGCCCGATCCCTCCGCGTTATAACTCACTATAAAACAGCACTTTAGCAGCTGAGATGATCAGGCTAATGGATGACAAATGCCATTGTAATGTCAAAGCCGTAATAAATGGGCTTTGGATCATGTGACTGAAAATGGGACAATGAGGTTTGTTGACGATCACACGATTGTGATTATCAAAAACGTTCTGGATCGCCTTGTGACAAACTGGAAGCATCAAGTGACCTGAGTCACACTCAGGTCACTTGATAACAACAGAGCTCCATCCACGGACAAAGGCAGCGCTTAAGAGCCTTTTAATTGTAATTTATGTGCATTCAGAAACATATTAAGGAATCACTTTACTATATGTCCAAACATTATTTATTTGATTCCACTTCATTGCTTCCTTGTCTATTGGCAGGCACAAATCAAAATTCTTAAACCCAATAATCCAATCAGGACTCTCTGTCCCCAGGGCTCCCGTCTGTCCCCAGGGCTTCCGTCTGTCCCCAAAGTGAAAAAGAAGTCAAAAGTTCAAAGGGCCTTTTCCTATCGCACCCTCTTCCTCTGACGGAACCTCCCTGTGGACTTTAAACAGTCGGATTAAGTGCAAGCCTTTAAATCCAAACTCAGTACTCACGTTTTTGCCTTAACTTTCAATTAGTTGTTTATTCTTTCATTGCTTGGCTGGCGGGTCGGTCTCTGTCTCAATGTATTATTTAAGCTTAGCAGTCAAAAATAATTATATTAACTTTAAAGCCACCGCTTCTCAAGAACCCTTGTTGTTTGTGTGCCACAGGCACCGCTGTGTGCCTCTCTTTGTGCCAGTCTGTCTCTCTCTCTCCCTCTGTGCGTTTGCTCGTTCTCCTCGTCTGTGTGAATGATATACTTGAGGTCGCCTGTTGTGTGTTTGTGCAGCCTGTCCTCTTTTCCAGGTCACATGGTGGAGGAGGAGGCTGCCTGGCTCAGGCTCCATCTGTTTGGTGACACCTGGAAGATGCTCAACATCCTCCTGGCTCCAATCCTTTTCAAATACGTTCAAGTATCATTTTTGTCGTACGTATTGCCTATATTGTAATTTCATTGTGTTGCTTATTCTGGACACACAACATCTATTGCATTTCTGTCCGTCCTGGAAGATGGAATTTTTGGCTGTTTTTTCCTCGCATTGCCGAGTCAAGACAAGTCAAAATGACTTAAACTTGACCCCGAACGTCAGTGTCATCGAAATACTAGAGTGTAAAAGTGGACTGACCTGTGAGGAGAAGGTGCAGACCAGGAAGTCGGTCTGAGACAGGAAGTGGATGTCCAGGATTACTCCTCTGAGCGAGTTCTCAGTGTAGCGGTTGTGAAGGCCTGCCGACCACGAGATGGAGTTATCGCTGATGAACTCATATTCTGGATACCTGGAAGGGACAATAAGTCCAGAGTCAGAGTAAGACAAGAGAGGGTGAAATGATACAAATACAGAGAAAAACACACTCTCGCAGATCAGTTGGACAGACTCACAATGGGCATCAACACACACACACACACACACACACACACACACACACACACACACACACACACACACACACACACACGCGCACACACACACACACTCCCAGACACTGACTTAGTTTTGGCTTCCTGCAGCAGGGAGGGGTCGTCAGTGGCCAGGTAAACTCGTTTCTTGTCGATGTGGACACGTCTGGCCAGATTTTGGAACTGCTCCTCCACATGCAGCATGTACTCCTCTATGGGATGGAAGGCCGCCTCCGTCCCCACTTTATCTGTCCTCCTCACATGGACTCTACAGACAGACAGGGACACGGACAGCGTTACAGACGAGTATTGTAATGTCATTTTCGATAAAGTTGGCGTTGAGTTTTGTACATCTGCACTCTAAGCTCGTAGGGTCTATTAACACAGTTATGGTGGTGTCCCTCAAGATTACATATATGATGTACTGCACCTGTGCACTTCACCTCAAACTTCAAGAAACGTTTTGCTAAGTACGCACCAAGAACCATTATCCTCACATTGATACCGTGGTTAAGTTAGCATAAAGAAATTGAACCACAACTGGTAGCGTCTGTCTCCCAACGGGGGTACAATGATGGATATGAGGCTCCTACATTTGTTACATTTGAGTCCAAAATCTAGTGAATAATTTACATTTTTGAGCTCATCATAGTTGTGTTTGTATTTTATTTAGAACATTTTTTAATCTTTATTCAGACAACCTAGTTTACACTGTTTGTTTTGATGTTGACGTGTAATCGCTGGAAAGAAAAAGCGAAAAAAAATTAAAAAAAGGCCCTTCCACTTGAAAGCCATACCGTGGCAATCTTTCCATTGTTGGTATAAACACAAACAAAGAGCGATGGGACAAAAGACAATGACAGAAAAGAAACAGAAAAGGCAAGCCGTGACTGAGAGAGAGAGGAAGTTTCAGAAATAGAGGGAGGCAGTAAAATAGACAGACAGTAGAAATATCCAACAGAACTGTATTGTTTCGGTTTCCTTGTCATCGCTCGCAGTACACAAGGACAAAGAGAGATCGCTGTCACCGGCTGTACGTGTGAAAGAAAGAGCACAGCTGGTAAACAGAACAAAAGATGGACGAGAATGGGAAACGTCTCCTCTCCTGACACAGACGCATCCCTCAGACTGATGGACGCTGAAACACGATTTTATGCCGTCCACAACTATTCAATTGCTAAACCACCCAGCCGCATCCGCATTGGGACTTCTGGCCCCGAGGAGCAAATTCAATTTCAAAATCGAAGCGAAAGAAAAAGACCTTCTTCAACCTTTACTTCACAAATGAAGGAACGCGTACATGTTTCCCCACATTCATATAGTGCCACCTGGGAGCTTCCCAATACAATCAGCTGTCTACTGCGTACCGAGGAGCAGCTCCACTGGAATATCTCGGGTCAAAAGCCTTTTTTAAGGACAATTTGGTGTCGAACATTAGTCCTTTACTTCCACCATTCAGGATTTCCCAAGGGCTTCAGTGCTTTTCAAGGCTGCCTAGAACTCCTTTGTGAGAATGAGGTGGAAGAATAAAAAAAGTAAGAGAGTAAGAGGTTCAGAGAAAGAGAATAAACAGGCTGTAGCTAATTTTCACCACTGGCCACAAGAACAGCTCCTTTCTTTACGTGGCGAATAAAACCCAAAAGAATGGAGTGAGGACAAGTTGGTGAGTGGGCTACAAGGTGTGTCCGAGCCTTTTATTCGGTGTCTCTGATCGGACCGAGGTCGTGACTGAGCTTTTTGCATCCTTTGTTGGGGTCCGTCTCTCCTGCTCCCTAACGTCTCTCATGTCTACGGTGTTTTTGTTCCTGTGAACTCTTTTATCTTGCCCTTTTCTCTCTCTGTCAGACCACACTGAGGCATTGCTTAGCCCTTAGACATCTATCCCCCCCCCCTCAAGAACTCACCCACTACCTCTGCCTCAATAATTCAATTTATCTCTCTCTATTCACACTGTAATAGCAAAGCAGGGCAATCCTCATGGTGGGCGTAAAAGCATGCATTAGAGGCATCAAACACACCCACACTCGACACAGCAATGCTGATTCGGGCAGTTAGTGACAATAACACATATAGACTATAGAGTAAATGATTTGACCTCTGGATGCCTGTCAGCTGCACGAAGAAGAAATTACCACATTACACCTACTGTATGCTGCAGAATGACATAACACATTAAAGGAAAGGCCAACATGAAGGGTCTTATTAAGGTGTTCTGCACACTACTGGCTCTCTTGCAATGAGCACAAAAAAAACTTCTAACATTATTAGAAAGTTATTATAAAATGGTCTTTGTAAGCTCTCTAAGTGAAGAATAAAGAAATACCTGACCTGGAATCATATTATCCCACTTTTTATATTTATTTATTGTTTTCACTCTGAGAAATGTATTTTATTAATTATTATAATAAAAAACAAAATTAAAAAAAATTATATATATATATACATACACATATACATACACACACACACATACACACAGATACACACAATGTATAATAAATCCATCTCTTGGTGACCACATTGCCATGGCGATAAGGCTACTCTGGTATCTGTAACAGAAGTCTCTCTCCCTCTGTCTCTCTCTCTCCCTGTCTCTCTCCCTCTGTCTCTCTGTCTCTCTCCCTCTCTGTCTCTCTCTCTCTCCCTCCCTCTCCCCCCCCATTAGGACACATTCAATGGGGGCAGGATGGAGCTGTGTTGATAGCTGCTTTCAGTTGGTGGCTCCCAGCCTTCCTGCCTCTCACGTCCTTAGAGAGCAGCAGGGAGAGAGAGAGGTGGTGGTGGTGACGGAGCTGGTGGGGGTCGGCTGGTGGTTGTCGGGTCCTCCTGGGACAAGCTGCCTTTCTATTCCTCTCGGTACTCTCTGCATCAACCCCTGCATCTCCCATTGCTGCCGCTCCCTCGTGCCTTTTTCTTGCATTGACACTATGGATCTCTTTCAGTGTCCCCCCCCTCACTTTTCCATACACTCATACATATCGCGTTCCCCCCACAGTGCTGACAGAAGCGCAAAGGCACTTTGTTGCAACATCAGTGCAGAGTGGAGTGGATGTATCAAGAGCTGAGAAGGGATGGGATAAGAGGGATGAAAACTTTGTTCTACCCAGCACATCATTTCAATAAGCCTTTCCCATGTGATACGGAGGGAGGAAAGGGTGGGATATGCGAGTGTATGGAGGGGGGGGGGGGAGTAGGAAACACAAAGAACAGTGATAGAGATGTGTGTAAAACCATGAGAGCAAGAGAATTGTGGGTAGGGATGTGCACCCGGGGAACGTGAGGGAGATATAACAATATAACAATTTGAAATCTTGAAGCAGGATGAACAAATGAAGACTGAGCAACGATCACAAATGAAAGGATGCGAGAGGTCGGGGAGATTGAAAAAGTTGGGATGAGTCACAGACAAAAAACAATTGAGGAAAAATAGGGGGAGGAGAGTCAAAGAGCTGGGAGAAAGAGACGGAAGCTGCCGGGTGATGAAAGGCAGAGAGGTAAAAACTAAAGAGAAGAGCGTCTGAGAAAAGAAAGAGAGGGAGACAGAAGAGCGTGTCAAGAGGAAGTCAGAACCAAGCAGAGCAGGACAGGAAAAGTAAGGAAGAACAGCGACGGTTGGTTTGCAGCAAGACGTAAAGAAGAAGAGGAGTTATGAGAGCGAGGAGCTGGCAAAAGAGCCTATGAACATATGGATGTGAGAGTTATGTTGAGAATGACGGAACTCAACCCGGCTGACTTCACAAACTATTACAATATAACTCTTAGCGTTTATTTTAAACTACTTCTTTTACCAGGCAGGTGGAATCAGCCTCATGGAAGAGAGATAACCAGTCATTATGTGCATTGTCCAAAATGCTGGACCTCTTGTGCCAAGTTTCCTGAAAAGTGATATCTAGGTGGCGTACTCCGATACCAGGGCACTGAGGTGCATTGTTCTTTCTGCAACGAGGAAGTTCTCCTGTGCTCTTATGTGGATTTTTAAAAGCTAAGGAAGGCTCTGGTGATCTGCCAGACTGAAATATCTCAGCAGCTAGCAGGACATATTGCCATGAAACATTGTTCATTCACGCTCCCCAGAGGATGAAGTCCACTGACTTTGGCGAGTGTAAACCACTTTGAAGCCTGGGGATTTGTTGACAACAACAACAATATAGAATATAGCCGTTCTTATCCTTTAATCAACAATGATTACTAAAGATTAAAGAAAAGCTTAAACATTAATACATGAAACAAGGCAGAACCACACAAAGCATATTACTAGAGAGAAAAGAATGATGTAATTTCTTTAAGCAAGTTGATTTGCATTAATATAGTATATAATATAGCATATAATATAGCTGTATTAGTGTAGCGCAGAGAAGTAATAAAAAAGCAAAAGGCTTCCCAGGGTAAATAAAGGTAGAAAATTAGCCAAACTAAACACTTCCATAGATTGAGTTACTTTTAATACTATTGTATTAACCTCCTATTAACCTCCCGCAAAGCAGTGTCTGTATTCCAGCACAGCCCTCAGGGCGATGTTGTTATTTTCTTCTTCCTGTGCCGTCTGTTCGCTTTGATTGTGAAGCATTTTGCAAACTTTATTCTAGAGATACGCTGTAGTGACAAAGCCGTTATTATTGAAGTGTTTAAAAGCACAGAAAAAGGAAGATAACAAAGCGAGCCACGCTGACAAGTGATAGCCGAGCGTCCTTACCCGATGATGGGGTGTTTGAAGCCCAGCTTGGCGGTGGTCTGCTGGATCTCCTTCTCCAGCCACGTCTGCGGTCGCACCAGGTACTTGACGAACTGGGACACCCACCAAACGGAGGGGTCGCCGTGCAGACGGTGCAGGCGCGGGGCCAGGTCTTCGGGGATGGCCAGGGGCAGGTAGGGGGGCCGGGGGTGGAGACTGTCCACTATAGGCAACTCCACAACCTGGACGTCCTTATCGTGGGCCTCTCCTCGATGGTCCAAAGAGGAGAAGGTTGAGTATTAAGATGATCATGTTCATCATCATCAATGCAAACATTATGCTCATCTATTCAACAATTGATTAACTTATATATCAGAAAGGCACCTTCCTTATCAAAGCAGAGGTTCTAAGGATTGAGCGGCAGATTGTACAGCCCTTTGAGATTTGTGATTTTCGTTATGTAAATAATTTTGGCATGAGTGACTTGGCTTCAGACCTTGTATCAGTACCAAGTTTCAGTCGGATGAAGAAAGCCTGAAGTTCTGACATGACAGCTGTTTCCGTAAGACAACTTAGACCTTTTCTTCTTCTCCCTTTTAAAGTATATGGAGTTCAGAGACATCGGCAAGTTGTCAGCGTAGCTTTCTGTCAAACAACTGACAACACTGACTAACATCTTTGAGTTCACTGAACCTCTTAGTGTCTTTTTCTGCTGAACTAATTACGACACAATATGTCACTCTGTCAAAAATAAAACATTATGTTGCGATGCAGTGAGATTTTTCAGTATTCTTCTTCATCCCTATTACATTCATCCCTGTTCTGTTACCAGCATGAATCCAAATCCCCCAACCCCCTATGAATCCAGCTTCTGGGATTGACAGCTGCTCTTTGCCCGTCCTTGTTTAAAGGCCAAGGTAAGCTCCTTTCTATCAAGGCTGTGTAGGGCCAGGGGCTGGTGCAAGGACCTGGATTGGAGTGGTGGGGTGATGTTGGTCTGGCATTGGCGCCTTCAGGCTGAGTCCTGCTTGGCAGGCGCTCTGGGCAGAGGGGTTGAGCACGGGCTGATTACGAAGGTCACCTTTCTGGGCAGAAGACAGTCCCCCCCGCGCACTGCCAGACCTCCATGCACACCGAGGCCAACTGTGCGTGAACACGCATGTGCCCGCCCACAGAAATGCTCATGAGGATACACACACACATGAACATGCATGTACGGGGGTCTTGCGATGAGAAAAAAGGTGATCCAAAGAAAACAACAATAAAAAGAAATGTGTATTCACACACACACATACACACACACACACACACACACACACAAAGAGCCTCCGCTAATCTCATTGCACCAGAAGGGATATGCCTGGCAGACAAAACCTTCACTCTCTTTCAGTCTTAAAAACCCAGGGAGAGTTGTGTTTTGGTCCGTGTGTGTGAGTAAACCCCTGATTTACACAAAAACAAGTTTTGAGGCCTGTGTTCTTTCAGACTAAAGTGGCTTCTCTAACTGCCACAGACGGGCCCTAATACAGCTGCAAACACACATCCACGACACACTTCCAACTAAATGGCATAATGAGTCATTAAAAATGGCCTTTCACAGAAAGGGTATGTAAAAAAAACATGCGAAAAACAAGGACAGAAACAGAGGCTTCAATTTATGTGCGCGTATGCCTGAACGTGAACTGAATATAAATTGGTAGAAGCATTAAATATTGAACAGAAAAGATATTCCCAGGCCTGTCTTTGCTTATATAACAGCATTGGCATGATTCACATAAGGGGGAATGGGCACTTTTTTGAGGCCTGCACTTCATGGCATAAATGTACTGAGACGCAGTGAGTCTGCCTCCCACAGCTCCTTAATTACATCACAAAGCTCTTTTTAACTCCAAAGCATCGGCTACATTTTTTCATGTACGCGCCTTAAAGCTTAAAGGTCTGAACTGACACAGAAACGCTGTATTTTAAGCCCATGATGCATACTTCGCCTAATAAATATTGCACAAGCTCAACACAGCTACTGGAGAACCAAGAGTGACACCATACAGACACAAAATGCGAAGCCTTTCCATTCATAATACATTTGAGAGGCGGTTTATGAACTTGGAGAACTCTTGTTCCAGTCTTTACATGGCAGGGAACATTATGTTTCCCCTGCTGCTCTCAGACTCACTCATAAGGCAGTAATATCTCTACAGAGAAGCTCAAAGGAATACACCCTCTTTGGCAAATTAGCTCTTTGATCAACGAACCATTGTTCCACAAGGAGACTAGTTTCCCCTTTGTGTGCTCAGAATTTACCAAACCTGTGAGATGGTGCTGTAAGCTCTCTCATGCTGCTGCCCACTGCACATAAAAGTTGTAGTAAAACAGCAACATGCACCAGTGGGTTAATAGACAGAAGGGCTGGGTTTGGACCTTACTACTTTCTGTTGGTATTGACCGATATGTCCAAGGCGCAGAGAATCTAAAATTGTCAAGTACTAAAAACTTGTATTGATTGTCTGTTCAGATTGGTAGTCATATTTCCAAACTAAAAACTATTTAAACTGTGTTTTATTCAGGCAACAATTGAAAAACGTGGGTACTGTGTCGGCATTATTATCCAGTATCCAATCCCAAGAGACAAGGTGGGTCAATCTTTATCAATATTCCCATTACATAGTTATAGTCTAATAAAATAGATGTGTATCGTAATTGTAGTTCCTAGTTAAAGGTTTTAGAATTATGGTTCCCCGGAAAAATTTGAATTTTCTTTCCCCACTTCCCGTAGGAGGGAAGAAAATCAGCAGGTCCTATAATGATCGCTACCTTTGATTTTGTCACAGATGCATATTCCATGCATCATCTCTCCGTCTATAATTAACTGACATCCTACGGGAAGCAACTCAACATAAAGTGGGCAAACCATGTGCAGATAAATGACAGCGCTGCTACATAAAATACCAACAATGGCAATTAACAACGTAAACACAAGGTTAGGCAAACAAAAGACAAAAACTGTATCGTGTAAAACTATAGAACAGCAAAAAGCAGCATGCTCATCACATTTCTAAGTGAAGGCTACTAGAAAGGATTGGTGGCATTTACCAGGAATGATACAACAGAGACCCGATGTCTAACAAAATTAGAAAATGCCGACGTTGCAAAGTCCACTGCCATCCTGGAACAATGCAAACCCTTCATCATCTCAAGGCATTGGTATGGTAGGTAATAAACACTGGCTAATCATAGAATAAAAGGCCAATAATATACTGTAACACTAGCAAATATCCAAATGCATTAATTGTACTGGCATGGGCAGACATTCCACTTAATTAGTGATATATTCAATGTATATCTACTTATTAATCCAAGGCTTTAGTGTCCCTTTGTGGCCCAGTGTCCCAAGGAATGATTTTACCTTCCCTGTTAACAAAAGAGGCATGACCACAGCAGTAGCCAAGAACCCAACAGGCTTACATTAGCTATGCTCGGCTTGTTAGCTGGCTTGGTCAACAGAAGATACTGCCTCTGCAAATTACAAGACTTATAAGGATAAGAATTCAGAATGCTAAAAGGCCGGGGGAGTGGCGTTTGTGGTGAGATGACTGTTGGATGCCAGATGGCATATATGGATCTATAGGAGGCGGTTTGTAAGACAGACACCAGAGAAAGACATTAGATAGGGGAAAAGGACACATGAAAGGCAGGAGAATAAGAAAGGGAATGCGCAAGGAGAGCAGGAGATAAGAAGGGAGAGCCCAGGAGAGCACAAATCAAATGAAGCGATAGCAGAAATATATAGAGCTGAAAGGATGCCGTGATGAGAACAAGAAAGCAATGACAAAGAAATTGATAGAGACCGAGAGAGAGAAGGGGGGGGGGGAGGGGGCATAGTCTCATAGTAAAACCTCCAAATCATCCATGATCTTTGCTTCTGTCAGCTTAACAGAGGATGACACACCTATACACCTATACTGTAAGACCATCCATTAATCATACAAAAATCACTATTTCCGCTCATACCGATGCGCAATCTCATTCATAAATGATTCTGCTGCCTGTGCATTACCAGGGAGATGCATTCTCCCCCAGACAAGCACATCGATCTTCAGTCTAAGGTTTACTGACACCAGGTACACATATACATTAGCGTATGCTTGAACACGGTGTTCGTTACGGACAATCAACGACTGACGCATACGTTGTACATATGTAGAGCTTTTGCTTTAACGGAGCACGCATCCTCGTGACCAAGACACAACACAAACGTGTGTAGCATGCACACAGGAGTGACGTCATTCATAAAAAATGACTCGTCCTTCCTTTTGAAAAGAAAATACAGATGAAACCCCTATGGAGTAATAATTAACCATGTGTATAGCTGGAGGGGTCCTCAGTTCTACAGATGGCTATGGGGGGGGGGGGGTGTGTCTTTTGGGATGCAGGAGATCTTTTTGTTGTAATACCATCAGTCAAGAATCAAGGCTGAGTGGCGGCGCTGGATCCAATTCTACAATGAATCCATGGTGTGAGAACTCAAGATGACTCTCAAAAATAGAGGAGCCTCCTCCTCTTCCTCTATGACCGGCCTCCTCTATGGAAATAAAGTCTTCTTGGCACTGAAGCCTTTGAACAGTAACCTGCTGCTGCTGCTGCTTCATTGGCTGCCAAAGTGCTTTAACAGGAATTGCACAGTCCTGCTTAGCCAGGGAATTCACACTTTGTTTGTTTTCGCTGTAGCAGCACAAAAGATGTGTGGTCTGGCAGACCCCGTCTTTTAGCAGAGATAGACCAAAAAAGACAACAAGGGCTATTTGAATATTAAGCAACCAATCATAGTCGTTTGCAGGCAGCACTGAGGCTACGGCTGCGTGTGGCTCACAATGGGTGATGGTGTGTGTGTGTCGGTGTGTGTGTGTACCTTACCTGACCAGTGTCCAGTGGTGGCCCCGGCGCGGTCGGTGCAGGTGTTACTGACGGGCAGGAAGACGGTCTCCCAGCCGCCGGGGGCGTAGCGCCAGTTGTGGGACTCCAGGATGAGCGTGCGCTGGGTGCCATAAGCGATCATGAAGCAGTAGACGACATGGTGGAGCTGGCAGCCGTAACCACAGCCCTTATTGATGTTGCACACCAGCTTTCTCGCCTTACTGCAGTCTGGGGGGTTCTTGGAGAAGGACAGGAAGGAATGTTTCAACCTTTTTTTATTGCTTGACCTTCTTCTTGTATCTCTCAAAGCCCTGCTCTCGGACTTGTAATAACACATGGCCGATATTGTTCTGTTTGTTCCCTTTGCCCGTCTCTCTCATACTCCACTTCGCTCTAAGTTTATACCTGTTCCCTCTTTTTCTCGGCTCTCTCTCTCTTTACCTGCTAGTTTGTTTTTCCTTTCGTCTCCCTCTGTGACAGCCATGAAAATGACTCTTTTCCCATCTTTCTTTTCTCTCCCGCCTCTCTCCTTCTTATTGTTAAAAGGATACAACTGGTAATGTTCTATATTTTTATACGCTTTGGTGACAAGTATTGTCTGTGCATTCAAAGCCGGATATAGATGTTTTCACCATTGTTACAAGAACATTATTAAAAACACATAAATGAGCCACACCATTGCAATAAGTGGCACATTTCTTCAATACTATGAACATGGCCACCGTAGTTCCTTTATACATTGTACCCACATACATTGTGCTGTTGCACTGGCACATATCAATAGTTGGCTGACCATAATCCCGAGCCTCTGTTTGAGTAACGTTTGCAAGAAATGACTGAAATTGCTCAAAAAAACTCTATATTTGTGACCAGCTTTTTAAGATTTAAGTTGTCAGTAGGAACCAATGGGGCAGCGTGGAGGATGGAAATTATTGAAAGATGGATTCATTGGATTTGGTCTTTTGGGATTTGTTGGCAATAGGAACAATCCCCAGCCTTATCCTTTTATATCTATTCTTCATTAATCTCTTTGTTGTTGTCTGTAATCTCTTTTTCCTCTCAGTATTTATCGCTTTTCAATTCAAGGCTAATTTATTGAAACCACAATATGGCTTACTGTAATTATCAAATGGGAGGAGATCCAATATTTGTAAAAGGCAAAATGTGTGTCGCATACAATTTTAAATTAAACATCGTGCTGCAGAGACGTCCAGGACTACACATCATAATGTACAGACTTAAGAAAACATCTTTGTTTGGTACAAATCCCAGCAAAAAAACACACAATAATCATTTCAATATGTTTTTCGATGAAAATGACAATCATGATGTACATTTTTTTCATATCCCCCATATGCCGCAAATCATGTGTGTGTGTGTGTGTGTGTGTGTGTGTCAGTCACAGTCCCTCCGGTTGCAGCATGTTGATACATATTGGGCAGCAAGATATGCCTCGTCTCTTTCTCCAAGTACTTTTTCATTTGAGAGGTCATTAAGCTCTTTGAAATCCCAAATGACAGAGTTGACCTTGTTTCAGTAAATGTTCCTTATTTCATTGAATGTATGACAGTCGAGTAGATGGATGCAACAACCTCTTGTTACCGCCGCGGGTCCTTTCCGCACACACTCAAACAGCGTTCCGTAATGTTCTTTATTGTTATTACTGCAGTTCAGACTGGTCTCGGCCGTGCGCTCTCCTGCCGTGCCCCCGAGCGCACCGCCGTATATGCGTTGGTCAGGATCGTCTGTTGTGCTGTGTCTCCTGCTTACCTCTCTCTCGCGCCTCCGTCCCTACTAATGTTTATATACGAGAGAGACAATCAAGGATCAGTTTCAGCTGCGGCTAATCAAGCCTCTTCACGGCACCGTTCCCTGAACCACTCCCCCCCCCACTCTGTCCCCTCTGCAACCGCGCCCAGCCACCACAATGGATTTCTGTCTCAGCCTCACCTGTTGAACAGTTACCACATGTTCTATTTTCGGTTGGTTGCCAGGATCTGTCTGTGGACACTGAGACGGTGCTTGGTTAGGATCTGTGTCCGCTTTTGTTTTCTGACAGTAAAGAGATATTCTGCAAATTCATAGCCTCTGTTTAGGACCAGATAACATTCTAATCTACTACTATCTGCTTTTAGTTTCTTCTTTCTAATGGTCCAAATGGGGTTTCTTTCCATTGCTTATAATTAGGTTTACTCTGAGAGGTCTTTGGAGAGCAGTGTTGGTCACATTGTGTCTGAGCGGGGGCAGTTAGCATCAGTACCTCTCTCTCTCTCTCTCTCTCTCTCTCTCTCTCTCTCTCTCTCTCT